CAAACAAAATACTTTAAATGTTATATTTTAGTGTACATGCAATGCACCTCAATTTCCGAAGCATCCAGGAACGATTGACCCTCCACAGATGGAGTTACCTCAGCAGAAATCTGACACCAATCCCAAATATTTCAAAATAAAACAAAAATTAGTTAATTTTAAGTAAGAATTATTTGAAAATACCTGGTTTTCATTCTCCATCTCCTCCCTTTGTGTTTGGGTTAGAATTCTTCTTCTCTTGTACTGGAACCCGCTACTTGCTCCGGTGTTCTCCATGGCAAAGAGATGTGTGGTAGTTCTTGAAGGTATCCGAAGACGGTAAGCAATGTAGAACGAAGAGCAGAAGAGTTTCGATTGATGAAGGCGTATCGTTTCCGAAGACTGGTCGGGGGATTAAGGAGGGGTTGGGGCTTCAAACGACGCCGTTTGGCCTTTCTAAAAATCATCGTGACGCTTCGAAGGCAACCTAACGGCTGGTCGTTAATTTTAATATTTCCGTTTAATTTTTGAAGTAATAATAATAAACAGTGACGTTTTGTTTCTTCGTTGGAAGGGCCTTTCTGTCATTTCCTCTCATTTTACGCAAGTAGAGCGGACGCGCCTCACGCGAATCTCTGCCCTAAATTTTCCATAATCAATTTTTTAAGAAACCATTTTGAAAACTTTTACAAACTTGTATACCATAAATTACAAATTCATTTACAGGAAAAAAATTAATTAAATGTTTTAAGAATTTTTTATTGGCGGCTCTTAACTTTTCTTGTTGGGTTAGTTATTTTCTTTTATAAAGATGTTTTGAATTAACTTTTGAAAATAACATATTTTTATTTACTTATTTTTTGAAGAAATTTTACATGTTTTAGATCTAAAAATAATTTTACACTTTTCCATTTTCTTTTTTAGAAAAATAGATATAGTAACATTTGTAATTATATCTCTTCTAAATATATTTCAGCCACACATTTTTCAAATAGAGTATAAATTAAATGTGATTTATTGAAAAATAACATATTAAAGAATTGAAAAAGAATAGTTATCCTAATTAACTTAAAATATTCCCCGGAGTATAATTTTGATAGAAATTTGTTTATTAAAATAAATTTAATTAAAAAATTAAATTAATTAATGAAGCATATTTTTATTTTTGTCAATTTTTTAATTAAAATGGTTGTATAGTATAAATATTTAATAATAAAATTCACGTGGATCATATAATAAATTATATTTTTGTAATACTTTTGATGAAGGAGATGTGGAGAAGTGAAAGAAGAAGTTGTGTGATGGGACCCAAAATGATGACGTGGAAGAGAGACCCCATCAAAATGTTTGTACATAATTGTAGTGTACAAATGGAGTACATTTTTTGAGGTAAGTGTAGCATGGTCCTTCTGTGAAAGAAAAATTCAATTTTCAAGAGTGAAAAATTTAAATTAGGAAAAAGAAATGTCCAAATCAACCGATAAAAAATAAACAAAAATAATAAAAGTAAACTTCACAGAGGCAAGAGAATGATCAGCTAGAGCTAATACTATTCATGATAAAAATGCCATCATGTAGGCCATCACCATATCATAACATTCATCACCTCATTCTCTTAGGCCAAGAAAGATTAATTAGTTTTACAAAACTCCAAATGTAATAAAAAAAAACTTGTTAAAATTAAAAAGATTAAATGGAATGGAAAGACTAAAAAAGGCCAAGAATTATCAGTTAGAGCTAATACTTGATACAATGCAATCATGTTTATCCATCAAATGTATATTCTCTCCTCATTTAATTCTTCTAAGGCCCAGAAAACTATATAAAGAGCAAACTTTAATAATAATAATAATAATACTCCGTAAATAATAATAATAATAATAATAAATAATAAATAATAATAATAATAATAATATAGTAACAGAGAATGATCAGTCAGTACGAATACTTGTAGCCATCATAGTAGAAGTCAAGGTTTTGATAATAATAAACATCATCTCATCCTCTTAATAGCTTGGATCTTCAAAAGAAAAACTAAACAGCATTTACTTAAGACATAATACAACAAAATTAATTTGGGATTTTAAAAAAAATACAAAATCTTCGAATGGGATACGAAGGGAGACGGCGAAGAACTCGTAATAGCGTTTTCTAGGGCAAATGCTAGAATGAGATGGCGAAGAAAAGAAGTGTCTGGGAACTAAATTGCGAGAGGAGATCAAAACTATGTGGACTATATATTCTGCTAGGGTATCAAAAACAAGATCTTGCAATTTGGGCTACCCAATATGGCCCAAACCTATGATGGCCCTGTGTTTCGAATGCCAGTTCTGAGGCCTTAATGTGTTTTACAATTTTAATTTTAAAGTTTAAATTTTAAATATATATATTTTTAAGTTTAAAATTTTAATTTTTAGTTTATAATTTTTAATTTGGTTTCTTTGATTAGTCAAAAATTCAAAGTCTGTCAGAGGAGTCAAAAGCCAGCCGAGAAACTATTTTTCCCAATACACAAAGTTTATACGACATGTTTCTTTCTTATGATCATAAAAGGATCCACGTGATTTCATTTTGAAGCATAGAACTCAAATTCTTTTGTTGTGTTATAAAATTTGAGATAATTTGGTAAAATATTGACCACGTCGAATAATGAACTCATAGCAGGAGCCGGATGACCGAGACGGCGATGCTAGGTAGACGTTGTAACGGCTTGACTCACAACGAACATCGGCCTAGAAGGAGGGTGTACAATCCATGCTAACGAGGACCCGTGTACCGCACCTGATTCGCAACGTTGTCCACTATTTAAAAGTTCTTCGCATTGAAAACAAGGGTGCAGTTATTATCCTTGGTAAAGCGGTGAACGGATAGCAAATTTGAGATAAGAGAAGGAACGTGATAAGGGATAGGATGTGATATTTACCATGGGGTCTATGAATATAACCCTAGCCAGTGTGTGGAAGATGGAGTAATATGGCTGTTGGCAACTTATATGGAGATGGAGTCAGAGTCGGAGATTGCAACTGTAAGAGATCATGCGTAGCATGGGTGTTGGCACGTTATCAAGATACCAATCACCATATTGACTACTTGTGGTGGCATGCATAGCACGAGATGTGGTGGCAGAATTGTTCATAGTATAAGAGTCATCAGAGCAGTACCAACATGTAGCAGCAGAGTGGCCACACTTCGCACATATTTGACAAACTAGGAGATCACACAAAGGACCGTGGCCTCTTCCTCTTTCGTTTCTTCAACCTCCGTGAGGGGACCATTCTCGCATCCAGAATACGATCGGCCGTGGTTACCACCTCGACCGCCTAAAGAAAAGAGAGCCATGTGTGCACTCCCAGAAGTAGAATCAGCCAGGCTCAATTTATTTTCTATCTCAAGGTTGGTTTCTTCAGAGGCGAGCCATTCAGAAAGTGATTATACTAATATTCTCGTTGTTCCTGAGAATGTTCTGCTTAAAGAATGGGTATTCAGAAAGAAGACCGCAGATAACAACATTTACCGCATCCCATTCATGGATCTTTTCATTCAGAGAATTTAGATCTGTGAGAATATTGGCAACTTCATCGAGATAGTGGGTCATAATTTTTGTGCCATTTTAAAGCGTGTGAAGCTTGTCTCAAAGTTGGCAAATAAAAGCATCCTAGAGAGCGGTAGAAGCAGTAAAGCTCCGAGCATGTTTGTGAACAGTAGGCTAATAATAACAACAAGGCATGCACGAATTTGGGTGTCAATCAGAGACATGTATACCTTCCCATCCTAAGAGATTGTTTTTGGTGACGCTTCTTCATAGCCTTCGATCCATCCAAGAAGGAGATTAGCATCGAGAGAAGTTTGAATCTGCGAGTTTTTTTTGGGATGAGATTATGGAGTAGAAGTTTCACTCCGGAAGGAAGAGAGGCTAAAGGGTCAGACGTGAAGGCCATATTCGGCGGTCCACCGTCGACAAAAAAAGAGAAGAGACCGATCGAGAAGAGGAGACTGGGTTTTTGAGAATATCTGCTCAATACCATGATACAATTTAATAAAATATTGATCACATTGAATAATGAACTCTCAAGAAGTATTTATAGTACATTGTGTAGAATCCTAAATAAGAGAGGAAGATAAATATAGTAACACAAGAATAAAGAAATAAATAATACTACGTATTAAGATTCTATTCCTGTTAGAATTGAAAATGAGGATTGGAAAATTTGGAATTATAATTCAAATCCAAATCCACATATTTTTGTGTTATCAAACCACAAAATTGAAATTGAAGTCTCCAATTTCAAATCTATAGCCTGAACTCTGCGTACCAAACGGAGCCGTATAGGATTTCCTGCTGACTGCTCAAATCTTTCGATATGTAAGTGGTCTCTGCTGCTAGACGAGAGAGCAGTAAAGGAAGTTATCAATACCTGGAAACCCATCAAATGTGTGATGACATGATAAGTAGGAAATGCTTAGATTTATACAGCTCAACCATTCGTTTAGAGGACATGTGGGTACACAAACAATATTCAAGAGAGCATAATATGCACGGGAAGAACCCAAATAGAGGGAGAAAGCATTTCATTAGATCTTTTAGAGTGTTTGTTCTCAAGAATACCATTGCTCATGCACACAATCTCGTACCTCGATCCTATTCCCACCTAATACTTGAATGAGTCCAAGAAAAGACCAAGAGTGAGCCCGGTCTTCCAGTAATTAAGCATGGTGATGAAGTTCTTCATCTTTTGAACAAAAGGAAAGAATGTTTTGTACATGAGAGCCCCAATGCCCTCCACCACAGTCACTGCCAATACAGCAGAAAGAACATCCCAATCACCAGTCTGCCCAATTACGGTGGCGAACGCCGTTGCAGAATAAAAGCCAATTAACAGAAGTAGCAACTTCATGGGAAGATTTGTCCTCAATCCCATTATTCTTTCGTTCAGTTTGACTCGAAGAGCTTTAATGGCCCTAATAAGCCGTGTTGTGTTGCTGCTGTCACCGGTGAAAGAAGAACCCAATCCTCTGCTGCTATCCACATTGCTTCTAACCGACCATGCCTTCCTCCTAAATAAATGAGAAGAGACAGACTTGAGTTGCCAATCCCAGGAGAAAAGATCATCACCGCATATTCAGAATGACACTAACTCTATGTTTGGTTCAATGAATTTGGAAGGAAAAGAAAAAAATGGTTCTCTCATTTTCGGTTTTCCTCACCAAAATTAAAGGAATTTGGTTTTCTCCCCTCTTAGTACATTTTGCCTTCTCATTTTCTTTTCCTTCCACTTTCCTCTTCTTTTTCCTCTTTCAACTAAACAAGAAAAACTGTTTTCCATTTCATTTTCTTTTCTTTTCCCTTTCGTATTCCTTGAACCAAACATAGTGTAAAACAGTAACAACTAACAATGAAATAAAAATTCTTGCAAGAATTGCAAGTTAAACTGAACTAGTATGTGGACATGTGGTAAATGGATAAGTGGATCACATTGTTGATCATTTTATCTGGAAAGGGGAGTGTATAAGGGAGAGGAAAATTTGTTCATACTTTTTTATTAAAGTAGGTCGCCCCCAGTTACTGGCAGAACATGATAACTGAAAATGCAGTGTTCTAATGAGTGAATATGAAGGTCTCTCAAGGCAAACGACTACTATGCTGGATCTGGAGTATTCATGGGATAAAAGTGTATAGGTTGCAGGACATCCATATGATAGAATATTAGTAACCATACTGCAAGAAACCTGCATGCTGCAAACATAACTTAGAGGGTCAAGAAGAACTACTAAAGTTTGTGTTTGGTTTATTCCATTTTCTTTTACGCAATCACTTAAGAATGTGTGCTTTTTTTTATTTATATATTTTCATTTTTTTGGGTACCATAACACTTCACCATAGCTACCCCTATAGCCACATTTATCTGCTAAGTTTAAGGATTTAAAACTAGCACTAAATGATGCATGGAATGGACAATGTGAGAAAATAGCATGTAAGATTACAATTTGTAAGGAAAAGGAATAGGTAAAGTAAAAAAAGCCGTATCTTTTTTTGTGCTCATTACTAAGGCTCCGGTTGGAACACGGAAGTCAAACTATGGAATTGGAATTGGGGACACCAATTCCAATTCTGCTGTTTGGTAGCACAAAAATATGTAGATTTGGAATTGGTAGTGCCAAAAACGAATTGAAATTGCAGAATTCTATTCCATCCAAATCAATTCCATAGAATTTCAATTTCCAAATGAATTCAATTCCGTGTACCAAACGGACCCTAAATGTTCAAAGTTCTGAAAAATATACGAGTACATTTTTAATCATGATCTTGAATTTCCTTAAACAAAATTACGACGACTACTCAGTGGCTCCAACTACATCTCAATACACTGCCACAAAACTCAGAATATCAGCTGCAACATAGAGAATATCTGATGGTATAACAAGTTGCCCAAATCACATATGCAGCTAAAAAAATTCTCAGTGCATTATTATATCTGAATCTACATGAAATTGTTGTAGACTTCTAGTATAAGTTTACATAACTATGTAAGTGTAAAGCAAATTAAATTTTGATAGTCACAGCATAAATTTAATGTTGATACTCTTTGATATATTCAAAAAATGGTACTCCCTTTGTCCCTTACTTAGGTTCCTAGCTTGATTTAGCCAGCTTTTGAATGAAATAGAAATTGTTTGGTTGGAATAGAAGTTCAAACCAAGACCAGAGTTTCTTTTTAAAGTTAAACGATTTATGGTATAGTTAAATAGCATCCAATTGTAGGAAAATAAGGGTTGAAATTCCTTCTTCTGCTTCATTTAACACTTGAATGGACTGAATCAAAATGACACATTAAATTTCTATGAAGTGATTTGGGGCATACCTGAAACAACCTCCGTGATCTTTTACAGGGGTCTGTATCTTGCTACATCAAAGTCAAATGATTAGAAGCGGAAGCTGGCATGGACGGCTACATGGATCACCGAACTGATCTTTCTCGGCCTTCTTGTCTGCACCGGCGTTCTCTCAGCCTCGCCGTCGGTTAACTCTCCGTTTGGATTTTCCGTCGTCCGTCGCGAATAAAAGAACCGTAGATGGAGACCGTGTCGAGCTCGTCTCTGGTGCCTGATGATTCCACCCATTTGGCAAAAACTACAGTTCGCATCCGTATCCGTTTAAAGTGGAAATATCTGCATCCGTTTCAAATGAATATTATCCGTATCCGATTACTAAACGGATACGGATTTGATAATTGTATATCCAATCCGTTTAAAATTCAATCCGAATATCCGATCCGTTATATATAGTTTTTCCTAATTTTTTATATTTATATTTTGTTTCTCTATTGATATTTCAAAATATACGACATTTTTATATACAAAATAAATGTGTAAACACATAAAATATGTACATACATATAAATATATGTGTATATGTGTGCTATGTATATCTTTTTATCATATGAAGTTATCGTAGAATATCATAAATCATGAAAACGAAGAAAATAATTATCTCATAACAAAATAAAATTGATTTAATAATAGTTTGACTTAAATCTAATTTAAAATTAAAGTATTGTTTAATTTGATTTTAAAAATTGGAAACAGATACGGATATATCCGATATCCGATCGATATCCGACGGATGTGGATACGGTTTTGATTTTTAGTATCCGTCAAGATCCGTATCCGAATTTGATATCCGACAAAAATAAACGGATACGGATTTGGCAATGGCACATCTGATCCGATTAATATCTGTTTACACCCCTATTTGTGATTGTTGATGACGGAGGAGGAGGGCAAATTAAATTATACATTAGTTGTACCCAATTTTAGGTACAACCAAGAAATTATTTATGGTATGGATTTTATTTTACATGAGAATGAATACCACGCTAGTTATATTTGTGCGAGAATGAGTACTAGTCTACTTCAGAATGAGTACTACCCGGATGTACCATACATCCGGTTGTACCATAAACCTTCTCTCGAGGAGGAGGACGAGCGGGTCGCCAAATCCGGTTCTGAAACGTGGAATGAGAGTGAACTTTTCAAAATTACTAGTATTTTGACTCGTGCGATGCACGGAGTCGAACGGAATTTTTTTTATTCTGTATTTTTTTCAATGTAATATATTTTTGGAAATCAAGTAAATATATTTCTATCACGACTTTTAATCAATGGATAACAACGAAAAAGTAAAATAAATAATAGTTGAGAAATTGAAAGTGTACTCGAAAAGATCTTTTTTAATTCCAATTTTTTTTAAATAATTCACGGTACACAATATTTTTGGTATGGTTGTAACGGTTTCTATTGTCATCTAGAACCAATATTTTTAATCATCTCTTTACTGTCACCCGTGTAATAGTAAACTAAAGCCGACAATGAGTAAATACTGAATTGGTTAAAAATAATACAATAAAAGATAATGTTTGACCTTGACTTTTGTTAATAGTCATAGCAAAACAAAAGACTCTTGAGAACCGTCTTCTCTAGGATTTAAGGGGTAGTCTTAAATCAGATGGTACCAAATTCATTCGGGGTATGTAAACCTTTTTTCCAACTTGATTTCCCCAAACCTCAACTACACTTATAATGTTCTTTCGTAGCTATTCAACGATTAATCTTCTATCATTACACAATCCAGATATTTAGTCAATGTTCTTCAAAAACATAATCGGTACCCCCATTTTAAAAACTATTTTATGGTTTGGAATCCCCGAACATATGATTTTTTTTAAAAAAACTAAACTGTTATCTAATCGTCTTCAACAGTTACATCTGAATCTCCTTGACATGGAGAATCAAAAGTTAAGTACTCGTTTTCACCTCCTAGAATAAGGGATAGAACAAATTCATATACTATTCAACAAACTCAAGCGTGGGTGCTAACAGTGCACTCTCCTCAAAAATAAGAATAATTTTTTATGTTATCTAATAGGTTCGGATAAGTAAAGTCCACTCTACTCTTGAGGGGATTTCAAGACTTTAGGCGGGATTTAAACGTCAGCACTTTCATCGATGCCACCTATGGTGTATATCAAAAGAGGGAATACACCATATTATCAACAGTGTCAAAGTTAGATTGGGTAACTCAAAGTAGTTATTTTATCTAGACCTTTATTTGCAAATTTAAATACATATTTGATTGAATTAGATTTATTGAAATATTCAATATTGATTGATCTTGATACCTAATCAAGAGTTGTGGGTTGTATGACATAACAAATCGATTGTCCAACTCGATATCCTTGCTCATTGGGGTGACCCCCATGTTTCTTCTTCTGTATATCGGGTAGCCATTCTCATTAAATGATATGATGTCTTATCAACAAATTTTTTTGGGAAAAAATTTCATGTGTTTACCGTTGTTCATATATAGAGACTCATCTAATCTAGGATATTTGTTTTTATTAGGAACCTCTACACATATCACATGATCAATCGACTCGAACGGTTGAAGTTTATCCCTCTGGTGTAACCATTTTAAGATATGTGCATGAGGCAAGCTTCATTTTTGAAAGTCTACAATGTACTAACATGCACAAAATTATTACATTCAAATGATGATATTTTAAATTGAATGTCCAAACCACAACAACTTCATTATTTAAATGAAACTAATATAGCAAACTTTAAAATTACCTCTAATTGCTTCACCAAATATAAGTATTGTTTTACCTCTAATTCCTTCTCCAAATAATTCAATTTCATTTTAAAGATTCCAGATTCAATGTCTTTTTTTGCAAACAAGCACATCATTTTATTCCAACAAAAACATCCAACTGACTTACAGCCTTCCTCAAGGGATTTAAATCCTACACTTGTTTCCCTTTACTATTACTATAACACTTAGTAACAAATAAGATGTAATCTACTATCTCCCTCATACCCAGACTCCTATTTGTATGGATTTTCGTATTCTTGGCCCTCCATACCATATAGCATACTACTGCCCAGTTAGCAATCCTCATCGCCCTTTCTTTTCTTGGCCCTTGATCCTTGAGATAGCTGTAGATATCCTCTAGTTTGGTGTCAGTGAGATTGCATCCCCCTTCCTCCTTTAATTTCCTGCATATATCAATGTAGAAGGCACAATCTCCAAACAAGTGTTTAGTATCTTCAATTCCTTTGTCACATAAAACACAGTCAGTAGAGATGCTCATAAATTTGGTTAGCCTCGCCCTAGTTTGTAGTCTATTTTTCATGATTAACCATACCAGGAATTGGTGTTTTGGTATGGTTAATCTGTTCCAAACCAGCCCGGCCCAACCAGTTTTAAGAGATTGCCCCAACAGCCATTTGTATCCCTTCTCACTAGTGTAACTTTCCGTTGAAGGCATTCCTTCAAAGTCCCTTCTAATTTTGATCATCTTTTTCCAGTAGCTACATGCTTCAGTTCTGGGTTTATAGCCCCAGAAATCATCATCTTTCTTTAAGTACCTGCTGTGAACCCATTTAACCCATAAGCAGTCTTTCTTCCTTGCTATATCCCAGTTAAGGGCCATGATCATAGCCTTATTCCAAAGCCTAATATTAGGTAGCCCTAACCCCCATTCACTTTAGGTTTGCAGGTGTCTTCCCAATTCACCAGAGGCACCCTTTTATAGATTTCAGAAGAGCCCCACAGGTAGTTTCTGGCTAGCCCCTCAATTTTCTTCATGACCCTACCTGGGATGACAAAAATTCTGGCCCAGAAATTAACCATTCCAAACAGCACTGATTGGATTAATCTGGTTCTTCCTGCGTATGAAAGATGCTTGGTCTTCCAGGAGGTTATTCTGGCAGTGATCTTTTCTATCAGTACATCACAGTTAGCCACTGCGAGTCCACTTGCTGATATCGGACACCCAAGGTATTTAAACGGCAGAGATCCCTCTTTTATTCCAAACTCCTTGAAAATGTTTTGCTTCTCCTTCTGACTTAGCCCAGCAATGACCATTTGGGATTTCTGCAAATTTATAGAAAGTCCTGTTGCTTCTCTAAAGTGTTCTAATGCCTGCATTACACTTCTAATAGAACATACATCAGCTCTGCATACAATTATAAGGTCATCAGCAAAACAGAGGCTTGTGATTTTGAGTTCTTTGCATTTAGGGTGGTATCTGAATCCTTTCAAGCCAGCATAGTTCCCCAAAACCCTAGTCAGGTACTCCATAACAATCACAAACAATAAGGGAGATATGGGATCTCCTTGTCTTATCCCTCTATCTCCCTTAAAGTAACCTTCATTGTCTCCATTTATATTAATAGAATAAGTTGTTGTTGTTATGAAAAACATAATCCATTGCACATATTGATCAGGGAACTTCAGATATATAAGCATCTGTTCTATTGCCTTGTGACTAACTGAATCATAGGCTTTAGAGATATCCATCTTCATCATACATCGAGCAGATATACCTTTTCTCTTATAGCCCTTAGCCAGCTCTTGACATAAAAGCACATTGTGGAGCAAATCCCTCCCTTCCACAAATGCCCCTTGGTTCTGATTTATAATCTTAGGCAGTACCACCTTCAGTCTTGATGCTAACATCTTTGAGATAACTTTATAAATGACATTGCAGCACGCTATGGGTCTGTAATCCTTAGCTTCTTGAGGATTCTCCCCCTTATGAACAAGGGTAATCTTTGTATGGTTTATTTGCTTAAGTGTCTTCCCTTTAGCAAAGAAATCCAAATCTGCTTTACTAACCAGGTCTCCCACAATATTCCAGTGACTCTTATAGAATCCACTACTGTATCCATCTGGGCCAGGACTCTTGCCATTTGGGATAGAGAACATGTTCTTCTTGACCTCATCCTTTTGAAAAGGAGCTATGAGAGAGAGAGCTGTTGATTCAAGTCCAGTGTCTTTCCTGCTTCCATTATATTTTTGTCAATGTCCCTGGTATGGAATTTCTTTCCCAACAGGTTCTGATAATATGTAGTTATCACCTTAGAAACTCCCTCCTTATCATTCATAACTTCACCTTTGTCATTCTTAATTGATATTATTTGGTTCATCAGATTCCTTTTTTTCACCCATGCATGAAACAGTTTAGTACCTTGATCTCCCTCAGTGATCCATTCCATCTTTGAGATTTGGTTCAATGTCATGTATGTCTTCAGCTTTACATTTCTTTATTGTCATATATGTTGCAATCTCTGGCCATTGGGGATTACATGTTATAGTATTGAATAAATCTCGATAATCAAATCTTCAACAAATAGTCATT